CCTGACTTGTGAATAGAGTCTGCGATTTCGATTACGACAAGACAACTTGTCTCTGCTAATCACCGTAACGTCCAGGTTATTTTGTTCTTTCAGCTATCCACCGGTCAGTTGCTCAGCAAGCACCGCTAAATTTGAGTTAGACATCAAGTATACCTTGTAAATAAGAATAGTATAATCTAGAGGTAAATATATGACTTCAAGGAGATAGTTTGTTGAATTAAAAGCTTTGTCCTGAAGAACTAATTTCAGATTACAGCCATATAATTAAAATTTCTTTAATTTCATTACCTTCATAAATTTTGCTAATAATAAAAATGAAAAGTTAAAGCGCACAAAAAGAAAAAAAAACAATGATCTGAATGCCAAAAGTGAAATTCATTTTTAAACTTCGGATTTGCCTTAGTTGCTTTAACACAACTTCAATTTGTAGATAATCCTATATTCACTGTATAAATGCACATCGGATTATCTACAAATTACAATGCATATGGTAATAAGGGAGGCGCATATCTTTGGGTTCGTTGATTTCGTCCAAACTTGCAAAACAAAAACAAAAAAAAACAAAAAAAAAAAAAAGAATCTCAAACTGAGTACATCTATCTGCAAATGGCTTGTGCATGCATCTCAAAAATAAAGAAAAAATCGAGACTAAATAATATTCACATTATTTAAGTTCCACCATTTGTTACAGTCACCGAGTTCTTAAAAATAACCTCTATTTGAAGATTGAACCCTCAATATATCGCTTGGAAAGAAAACGCTGTGAACTCGCGGAGTACTATGTAATATACTGCTGACGAGAGTTTCTTGCTTCGAATCTAAGAGACAGCAGCTCTCGTTTTGTAAGTGTTAGTATTCTTAAAACCTTATTGTATTTTAAAACGAAATTCATTCCTGAAAAACCACCAAAACTAATATAATATAAACATTTCGTCAAAAAAATAGTTTATTTTGTTTATCCACATTTTTTTTTCTTACAATTGGTAGTAGATACTGGCTATGAAAATGCTTAAAAACATAAAATACCGGACAGGGCAGATTAAATACATAATCATTTATCACAATCAATACATTTTTAAAAGGCAACTTTTCTTTGAAGTGTCAAGGAGAAAACGCATTTGATTAATATTCATAAACGGAAAGTTAGGTTGACTTGCATTTCTGCCCACTTTACTTTTATATTTCACAAATACACACACATACACCAGGAAAAATAACGAAACATTTTCGTGAATTGCAGATCCTTGATATAGCTCCTGTATGTTAGAAGACAAAAGTCGAGAGCAAGCAACAGTATTTATACAAGCTCTCAAAGTACATAAGAAGTAAAATGCCCGAAGGCGAAAAAGTGAAACGGAAAGAAATCAAACATAAAAAGAGGCAAGCCGTGACAACGAGGTGTCAAAATCACCAAAATGTGGTTGTTATGACTTACCCGCTTTTCAAACAGTAGCATCAGAATAAGTCCACGAATTTTATTCTCAACAGGAACGCAAGACTTCATCTTTTGGTGGCATGATCTTGGGCACCACAGTACAACTTTGACCAGCTTTATTGCAACTTTCGGCTCTAAGAGTCTCCCACACTCATTCCCCTAATTACAAACCTCTCTAGACCACTTTTAGCTTGCCGTATATTTTAAATGCCTCGCTTCAGCAAAGATACTTCATACTTACAAATATCCAAGCTATCTCAGGGATTCGAACCTGCCCCAACGATATGGCAGACAGCAACATAATTTACAGTACATAGTGTTTAGCGTTGTTGGCTAATAGTCTGATCAGTTGTAGCAAGGCAACAAAATTTCGTTTGTATGATGCATCGTGACCCGTTTTCAAGCGAAAAATACTAGATCGATTTGCCTAACTGAAGAATTTAAGAAAAATTTCGAACTTACACTACCTCATAAAATCACAAAAATTATATGATTTTTTTGATATTCTCTCGAAAATACCTTTCATTAAAAAAAAAGCTTCTTCTTACAAAATAAACGGCATTAATAAACTTAATAGAGATGACAAAATGGTCACTGAATTTCAACTTTTGGTCTGCAGATTGTAAGTTATCGACTACACTAATGGAGTTAGGAAAAAAGAAAAGCAAACGGATGAACTTAAAGAAAAGGGATGTTACTCAGAACTTTCACATTTTTTCTTGGTTTCTTTTTAGAAGTTTGCCTTATGCATTTGCCAGTATTCCATGTTTACTTGCGTATATTTTTCTCTCTTTTTTTTTAAAATTTTATCATACGAAAATCAAGAGGGACAAAATATGGGAATATTTTACGAAGGAAGCTTTTACAGTAAGAGCATAACAAATGAAGAGTATTCATGCATGAACTACCGGTAATTATGACAATATTATTTATTTAAAAGAAACTTACATTCCAGTAAGAATGCATATTACTATTAACATTATAATATTTGATAAAATATCTTCATTTTTACTTCCGTATATCATAAATCTCGCCCGGTCTTGTTGTTGTTCACTTCTACTCCCCAGGCCTCAATAAATTCAGTGCTCCTGGAACTGTGTCTTCTACTATAGCCTGCAAGTCTTCGTCATTATCACCGTTATCATCGTCTTCGTCATCCAGTGCAGCCTGTCATTCTCGTGCAACGATTTACAGAATCATTAAAACATTAGATATCCCTGTTTCTTTGGCGCAGCCCGCAAAAGGCCGTAGGGCGTCGTAAAGTCTGCCAGGAGGGTCGGGCTGCGTCCCTCATATCATATCATATCCCTGTTTCCTTGAAGCTCTTCACTGTAATAGCTTCATCAGTCAGAGCCCATGCATCCAAAATGCACGAGTAAAATCAACTAGTAAGATGAAAACAACCGTTACGTGGATGAATTCATTTTAAAATTTAGGGGAGGTATTTTCCTGAACGTCTTCAGGAAGAAAAAAATTTTTTTTTCATTTGCGGGCACTTACCTATAACGGCATTGGCCTCCAGAAGTGGTGGCCATTTTTTTTGTGGAGTCACCTAATAGTCACCATTACCTCATATGAAGGAACAGACAATTTTACATCCATGCCTTCTCCGGGATTCGAACCCGGGCCCTTCGGTATCGTAGTCAGACTCCCTTAACCTAGTCAGGCTTCTTCTCATTTGCAAGGCTTATCGTACCACGTCCACGTCAGCCTACAAATTATCGCAAGGAAAGGAGCCGCCTGGATTGAACGTAAGCTGAGTGGTTAATGTAGCAGGGCTACGACGCACATGAGTCTCTGGGCAATCATCCATACAGATTATGAGCATCACATACGCAAGCTTCTCCCACCCTGCTAAAAAAACCTCTTGGCATATACTTAATAGAACAGGGAATTGCAAATGGTGTTTTACTGATGGCTCTAAAACACAGGAGCACGGAACGGATTCTGTACTTCTGGAGGAGCTTTAAACGTATGAGTAAAAGAAAGCTCGTTCTGAAAACTCTGTCTTCAGACGGAGCTCATGACTATCGAGCAGCTCTCTCCACCGAAGATAATCCAACAGTGCCCAATATCTCACAGACTCAGCTCAACCTCGCTCGATAGCTGGAATTCTTTCGCGCCTATCCAGCATCATTAGATACATTTACCAATGCCTGCCTCGCAAGGCCCACCATGGGTGCCCTCATACGGGCTATAAGGAAATGAGAGCAGATGTTGTCGCAAGAGCAGCGGATTCATCCTTTGCGAGAATTCCGACCTTAGCATTCGGACCTAAAGAGTCGGACATTCATCAGATCTAGGAATTTGCAAGACGTTGGATCAAGCCTCCACAGGGAGGCGTGCTTACAATCTCATCCCAAGGTCAGACAAACAATCCAAACTAATGCATACATGACGCATTCTTCATGTCATGTCCCTTCCTTATACTCCGCTTTGGCGGAGAGAGAATGGTAACTGTGAATGCGGGAGAGAGTCATCCAGCCATTTGTTCTCTTGCCAAACAGCACTTTCAGCTCAAGCAACCAGAAGCCAGATTCTGGCCATATTGGTTCCAGAATCTACAAAGTAACGAAGTTCCCCAGCGGAAACTGAAAACAATAATTTACTACTGTACTAGCAATTACTCTTCTGACGCTGGAAGATAGTAGCTAAAGGTACAAACTTGAGTGTGTCTACACACATAGGTTCGAACAATGCCCTTCTAAGTACGTCTCTTAGAAAAACACGCACCTTCGTCTGGCATTAACTTCTTGAACTGGCACATTATTAACCTGAGACAGATTACTGCCTAAAGCACAGAGTTCAGTTATATATAACTAGTTCCAATATTCAACAACAGAGTTGTGATATTATGTTCATAGTAATTTTGTATTTTACTGTGCCAGTTCATACACAAGTTTGTAATATCTGAATGCTTACATTCTGTTATGTTTATATTTTTATTAATTGTACCTATTTATACTAGGATCAGCGTACTTTATATATGATAGTATATTGTAAATGTATATTAAATATGAGTGCAGTATGTATACTTTTATTATTTATTGATTTGTTCGGATATAAGAGAGTGTGTCTATTCGTATCTGAGTTGGTATTAATGTACATACATATGTTTGATTGTATCTTCTCAAGTGCTTGTTGCATGTACATTTCTTTTTGCATTATAAATGTCGTCGTCACCTGGGGCTGCGGCCTGGCAACTAGTGGTTAACTCTCGCTGAGTTGGTAACCAGTTCTGCATGGATATATCTATACCTGGGTCGGAAGGCAACTCAGCGGTTTACTCCCCTAACTACTATACCGTCTGGGCGGCAGGGAAAAATTTTGTGAATACTTGAAAAATTTTTCAGAACCTTGCGCTAAAATTCTGGGAGGGGGGTACGCAAGTAAATACATTATTCACTTTCTTACCCTCTTTAATTATACGCGTTTGTACGAAATCGGTAATGTCAGTGTTACATATCTCCTTAAATAATTACTACTTTTAAATACATATATTTAGTAATTAAAAATGTGAATGCTGTTTTATATTTAGTTACTATGTTATAAAATTTCTAGGTCGTAACTAAACCATCTGGATTCATGGATGCAGCGTCAATCATAAGCTGTATTTTCATAACAGGTATGTTACTTCTCACATTCCTTTAAGTTATCCCAAAATATTTAAGATTTAATCTTATTAATAAATTTTATTCAAGACTGTAGATCTAAATAGGAAAGCACTATGGTTGTGTCTGGAAGATTTAGGGGTTCTCTTTATATATGAATGTGAGCAATACGCTCGAAGACTTAAGGCAAATAATAGCGAATGCTGATGTATAACGCGATAGTCATATAACGACAAAATTTAATTGAAAAAGCAAAGTGATGCATCATCAACATAAAATTCAGAAAAATAAAATATGTATTACACATTTCTTTTGAACATTTACTATTTATTTCCCTTCTTTCTTTCTTTTCTTTTTTTAAACTAGTTTAATTCTTACTTGATGAAAAACTGCTATTATACTACACTACGTAGTACCATGTTCACTTTTAGTGGATGTCAGAGCGATAAAAAAATTAACCTGACTTTCGCGGGCATATTTAGGTTGATGACTGCAATGGAAAGGCAGCAACATCCAGAGCGTTTAGCCTGCCATATTTCATCACATTAATGGCTCATTCTCGTTTCTCTCGAATTTTTGAAATTCCTTTAATTTTCAGAAAGCTTTTAGACTTTGCTATACCGGAAGTAAATGAAACCACATATTTACGAAACGAAAATATTATCTTATTCCTTCGACCGATTTCTTTTAACACTTAGAATGATTTGATTTTTCTCTTCAGCGTCAGTTTTTTCTTCCCAGAAAAGATAACTAAATAGAGGTCCACCGTTTAATTTTAATTCAAAATTCCTGAAAACCTTCACTATGCTAACTACAATAATTGATTTCGGTTAGTATTAGTTGACCTCTTACATGATTCAAAAACTTGTAAGAGCAATTGGCCAGCTATTAAGTAAAAGAAATTATTAACGAGAATGCAACTCATTACTCAAAGATCTCATTTAAATGATAGTGAACGCAACATTACTCAGACCTCATCTAAATGATAGTTCCATTGGTTTTGGTTTACGATGAAACCTGTTTTTATTAAGCATTCATAACAAATAATGTCGAGCATACTATTATTAGTGGAAGGCACAAGAAACACTAATAATGTCGCAGTTCTCATCCGAACACTAAGCTTCAAAATATTAAAATATGCTATAAATATTTCATATGCTCGTGTTATATATGTATTTTACAGCATAAATATCTTTTAAGGAATTGATATTCCTTTGATATTGCATGCCCATCAGTAAATGAAAATTGCATGCCCATCAGGAAGAAATACTTCGGGTTAAAACTAGGAAATCTACTTTAACGAATGCGTGTTTATCCAAGTCTTTATGAGAGGAGAGAATCTCATGCATGCAAAACTGAATCACAGTAAATGCTTTCTTTGATGAAATGATAAATACGGTATTTGTAACACATAAAATTTCGATTTCCGGATTATCTTCGGTACTACATTTTAAAATTCTGAATGAAAGAAACGCAACGCTCGAGATAATGATTCTCAAGAAGATAAAATGCTAACCAGGAAGTTAGAAAAGTAACTCTTGCGAACCGCTTCAATAGCGCATTTTCAAGATCATCACAAAAACAACTTTTAATATTATTTTTTTTATCTTTTAGCTTGAGTGCCAAACTTTGGAAATTTTTCCTCAGCAGTGTCTTTATTTCGCGGAAAGGTTTAAAGAAGGGATGATGGCAGTCCAACCATTTAAGTAAAATTCATTTTGGCTCATTTAATGGATTAAACTTTAAAAATTCTTGTTTCCGATTTTTTTTTTTTTTTTTTTTTTTTTTTTTTTTTTACACTTTTAAAATAGTTATATTCATTACTTATGAAAATCTTGTTCACTAAACGATTCGAAAAAATAAAAGCACGCACTAATGCGACTAATGTTAAACTAATGCGAGAAAGAGAATAGTCAGAGAAAAAACTGACAGACGCGTGAAACTCGGAAGAGTGTTTCTTGCACGATCTTTCCTTCATTTAATTGCTGAAATTTCATTTACAGCGATATAGTAAGTGCTGCATCGTTCAAGTGTGGGTCGAAGTCATCATTCTCTTTTAAACGGCACTAAAAAACATGTGAAGAGGTAAATTTTATAAGATTAAGACTGAAGCAGCAGGAGAATTCTGCAGTCTAATTAATGAGGAAATTTCGAGAATACAGGATTTGGATGTCAAATGCGAGAAAATGTAGAAAGTGGGAATGTCAGAAAGGACTTTCTTTTAAATGATAATTGCATTTTTTCCTCTCGCGATCGAAAATATGATTCATTATTTATATGATCTATCATGCTCAGATCAATGCATTTTTTTGGCTAAAAGTATAAGCATTTCATACTTTTTTCTCTTTTTTTTCAGTTTTCTGCAGTTTAATAGAAACAGAGGTGAGTTCATAATACCTGTGCTACAGTATAGCCTATTTCCATGCATTTTCTTATGTGTTCTTTATTTATATATAAATAGGGACAGAACCTGAGACTACGTCAAGCTCTTTCGAAAACCGCAGATTGGCTAAATGACGTTGATGGGGATAATATTCCTGGGCAAGCTGGAGTAGATTACCCAGTACATGCCTTCGTGCCACTGGAAACTAGTTTCCAGTGCAAGGATTATGATTATGCAGGCTATTTTGCTGACATTGAGGCAGATTGTCAAGTGAGAATTCTTATTAATTTTCCAGATTTAGATTGGCATAAAATCTAGCTAAGGTACTTAAAAAATTTTAGAAACGATAAGTCATCTTAAAACTAAATTATCTTCCTTTTTATACACTGCGAAAAGTTCTATTATATTATTATGATCCTCTCCGCCACTGAATCCTTACCTCATTATCGAAAGGTTTAAACATTTCTTAATATAAGCCCACATGTGCATTTACTGTAGTCATCTCAGTCATTTGTTGCGACTAAAATAAGTGAAAAATGGTAGGTTGCAGCTTTCTGTGAAATGTTAGCTCCTTATGCCTCAAGCGAAAAATCGTATTTTCTAACTTACTTTTCCCCCGTCCTTTTTTCCCCCCGAAATCAAAAGGAGAAAATTACGCAGTATACATCATTTTTTAGGGGAAGACTTAAATAAAGAGTATATATAGCACATTAAAACATCAGTAGAACTAATATTATTATATTCTAGATTTGAAAGAAATCAGTTAATTTCAATAATATCATTTTCGCTTATACAGTATACATTCCCATCTCTGCATGCATTTTATGTTGCTACCATAAATCAGTAGTTTCTAAATCGCATGTTGAAAATTCTAAGAGGGGATAGCTGAGAAAATGCGGTATCCGTTTCCACTGTAGCTCTTCAACTCAGAATCCATACGTTTTATCTTTCCTGACCCTGATCCGATTATGGTTTAGATAAACTTTTAAAGTAAGGCCAAAATTCGCCTGGAACTAGAGAACCCTTTTATTAATTTAAATAAAGTTTAACAGACGGCACCAACTCGTGCTTCAAAACGTTTGGCTTAAATCAAAGATAACGGATAAACTTATAATTAATGAAGTTTACGTATAGACTAACGACTTCATAGTTTAGCTAGAGCGCAAGGTGGCTCCGACCGAAGTCGGTGTAAACGAGCCTATTGGCAAGAATAACGCAAAGCTGCAGAATTCTAATCGCCAGAGAAGCAAAGTTAGCAGCGTTGCCTTAAAGTAGGCAGAACACGCTCTGACTTCACCCTCCCACCCTTCCTTTAAGTACTTCCTTCTTTCTATCTAATCTGAACACTGCACGCGCTGAACATTTGTATTCTGGCAGGGAAACGAAACAAGGCTTTATAGGAAACGGAGTTCACATAAAATAGCGGGTTATAAAATTAAAATGAATCTTACATGTCTGTGGACTGCTACTTTTATTCGAAAGATTCTTCACTTTCATAGCCAAAAAATTCAAACTTTTGAAGATTGGAACAAACAGGAGTGTTAAAGAATTTAGCAGTTCTCCCTTGGTTCTATAACACTGTCTCGAAGAGTAATGTGTTAATTCCACTAAAAAGCTTGGCTGCATGAGATTATTTTTATGTGTAAATAAGGGCCAGTTTTCCTTAGAAAGAACATATTTTCCTAAAGGCATGCAGTCTATGTACCTGTTCAAACTATGTGACTTGTCCGGTCCTTAACCTTGGTGAACAAGTAGTAGATTTCCTCTTCCAGAGGATACGCAATAACAGCTTAAGTACAATAGGCAGGCCTATTGTCCTCATGAGGGTGCAGAGATAGAAAGCCGGTGTTATAATTAAATAATCAAATTTAATCTCTTTAAGGTTAAGGATTATTTCCATGTATTCTGAAAATTTTGCTCTGAAAGATTTCAAGGTTCTCTGAAAGAACATATGAACTACACTTGCTAATCATTTACAAATTTACATACGTTTTGATTGCCACGAAGTTAAAGTTCTTTTTATAATAATTATAGTTTTAGAATAGTAAATATGTGAGTATATCAGACTCTTTAAAATAATATTCAGTACTTAATTTTTGTTTAAAAAGACCTAACTTTGTGATTATCACGAAGTTCAAGAATGGGTTCGAAAGAAAGGGTATGGCTGTGGTATGGAATGGAAAGAAAAGATACGATTCTCGTAGAGTCAAAAAAGTAGTAATAAAATTAAATAAGACTAAACAGTACAAAATCTGTAACTAACCTTCTTACTTTCCTATGAAATTCACCGCGTGGAAGAAATAATGTATTTTCTTAGGCAGATTTTATTTTTAAACATTTTTGTAACTCTATATTTAGTAGTCATTGTTATGCTTCAAAATGGTTGACAATGAGATAAGTTTTTTAGTGTTTACATGATATTTTATAGTTAAAGTATATTATATTTAATCGAAATCATATAAAGTTTCTGGGCGAAAACCCGAATATATCAAAATCTTATTTAATATATATCAATAGGTTAAAATCACTATTAGAAACGTATTATAAGTGAGCTGGTATTTTACATTAAAACTGATATATAGCAGAAATAAAAATAAATTAATAATTTTATATTAAAATAAAGCTTTTTTTGACATTAGTTTCATTTTTTAAGGCTTACCATGTATGTTTTCCTGATGGTCGAAATGCTAGTTTCTTATGCGTTAATGGCACAGTTTTCCATCAACGTTACTTTGTGTGTGATTGGTGGTTTCATTTCAACTGTTCCCATGCACCAAGCCTCTACGATTTAAATTTGTTCAGGAAAATTCCTCTCCCTGTTCTTCCCCCAGTGCAAAGAAGACCCTTTCCAGGACCAATGCCCCAACCTAAAGCAGATCTATTGCCACAGACTCGGAAACAACAGCCCAGAGTAAGTTTGAAAAAATCTTTATTGATACTTAAGCTTCAGCTCAAAAAAAAAGTGAATACAGTGTGAGTGAGAAAAAGTGAATAGCAGTCTACACATGAGAAAAAAAAATTTCATTATTGTATAAATTTCATTATTGTATAAATTTCATTATTGTAAAATTTCATTATTGTATAAAGGTGTAAAGGTTATACTGGTGTCGCAGTTTAAAAAAAAAAAAAAAAAAAAAAAAAAAAAAAAAAAAAAAAAATGCACCGTCCCTTGAAGCAATCTTTAACTGAAAAGATGTTGTATTGAAGTCAATAATAAATGAATATCCAGGTTTTATGACTGAAATACGTTAAGAAAAGGATTTTTTTAAATTTTTTTATTAATTTTGCCTATAACAATTTTTAAAACTGATATGGGGGAAAAAAAGAATTATTTACAAGCTTCTCACGTTCTTCTCATTTTATAACTCATCAGTGTTTCGCTTATTTATTTTTTCCATTACCATTTATTTATTTTTGTTGAATTTCAAATTAACCTTAAAACGTTGTCCACGACGTAGTAAAGCTATTATAGTTACAACTTTAGTTATATATAATTTACTTGAATAGCAAATAAAAGAAAAGTGGGAATAACGAAATGTGCCTACTTACAATGTAATGCAGAACCACAGAATAGGAAACAAGTGTTGGTCTACATCTCAGCTAAAGTCTATGACAGCAAAAGCAGAAAAAATTTATAATAAAACTTTTTTGAAGTTATAAAAATAACTGCTTTATTATTTTAACCATTTTCAATAGTTTTCCTTAATATGAAAACTTTTGGAAATGTTTTAAATAATAAGCCAACATTTTTTTCGGTTCATGAGTAATGCATGAAAAGGGATTTATATTTACTTATTCAACGAACTATCAAACGTGTGCCAAATTCGCCATTTGAATTCCTAGTGTAGTTATAAAATACAAACGTTTTTAACATAGTTCCGTTACATTGTTCTTCTACCTAATTTTCCTGCATAAGAAGCATTTTTAGAAGTAATTTTCGTGCGCTTATTTAACTTCCTCTTAGTAAGCCCACCAGTTGCTGAATGGATAAGACAACAGAACACTGTTAATTCGACCTGGATTCAAGTCCCGGCTGGCTGTATAAGCATTTTTGTTATGCATGTATAAAGGGAATAACAATCATTTTACCTTACAAAGCCCTCCATGAACAAATCTTCTCGTTTAATGGCAGATAACCCCAGCAATTTTTGCCTTGTCAAGTAGTCCAGTTCCTTTCTCTTCAAATAACACCTTAGCATAGAACCGCCAAAAGAAAAAAAAAAAAAAAAAAAAAAAATCCATTAAGCATCCATTTGAAGCTCTCATTACGACTGTATTTTATTTTAATTTATACTTTTTAAAAACTTTAACCTTTAAACGTGACAATTAGCAAAAGTAGATTAGGTTCAAAATTTTAATTCTGAACATAAATTGCATTTGCATTATTTAATTATTTGGAAAAACTCCAAAGCAAGCATAAAATACTGAGTATCTATTCTAATTATTATTCTAATATATCTAATTTTTCTTCCACTGTTGGCATTTTTAATAGTTATTACAGGCCACCTAAAAAAACTCAGTTTCGAATTACGAGAGCAAGATCATCTGATATCTGAGTACAGGCGACAAATCAATGGATACCATAACAAGCCGAAACGCTGTTTTGATACACATTCCATGTGCGCTGGTTGCTTTGCACGGGAGCCCGAAAATGAAACTGTTGAGACAAAATATCATCGAAGTATTCGTTTCAAGATCTACGGGCTAAACTAAATATCAGTATTCCATTACTAATAATCCACTCTCAACTGGCACTGAAGAACAACCATAAAACTTACAACTACAATTCTGGGAAGTTCAGCTTGATCGTTATCTTCATATTAGTACAAGGAAAGGAGCATTCCCTCAGTTGTCTTCCTGATGAACAATATTTTAATTTATGTGAGTTTTAGTTGAAAATCTGATCTATTTTCCTTGCATGAAGTTTATTAAGAATTACTACAAAAACTACCTCAACGATTATTCTCTATTACATCTATTTAACAGAAGAAATCCTCTAAGTGATACTGATTACACTCCTC